AAGTTGGATGATTGGGAGTTCAAGGCCACCCTCCGAAACTTAGAGAGACCCTGGTTCAAAATAAAAGGACTAGGAATATAGCTTAGAGACAGAGTGTCCCTGGGTTCAGTTTCCAGAACCAAGAAGAGACACACCAGCCATGATGACAAGGAGACAGAGCAGCAGAGAGTGCATCAGGATGCAGCGTGCACAAGGCAAGGAAATAGGTCTCAGGAGATGGGACACAAGCTGGCCAGTCCCAGGTCAACCCCTGGCTGGGCAGAGAGCAGGCATGTGGAGTGAGGATATGGGCAAGGGCCGTTCTTCTCAGAGAAGGAGCTGGAGGCCAAGGAAAAGGGCAGCTCCCAGTGTCCCAGCATTTCCTCTGTGGAGCAAGGTGTCTGAGAGAATTATGTACCGTTAATGTAACTGAACTGACAAATGTCAACTCATCTCATAATTGTACTGGTAAAATAAAAGACATTTATTTTTTCAAAATCAACTGGACACTGTGGCACATGCCAGTAATCTCAACAACTCTGGAAGCTGAGGCAGGAAGATCCCCAGTTTGAGGCCAGCCTCAGCAACTTCACTACAGACCCCGTCTAAAAATCAAAAGGGCTGGGGCTGGGGTTGTGGCCCAGTAGAAGAGCTCTCGCCTCACATGTTAGGTGCTGGGTTCGATCCTCAGCACCACATAAAAATAAATAAATAAAATAAAGGTATTGTATCTAACTACAACTAAAAAAATTAAAAAAAAAACTGAATGCTAAGCTAGGTGTGGTGGCACATGCCTATAATCACAGTGGTTCGAGAGGCTAAGGCAGGAGGATCGTGAGTTCAGAGCCATTCTCAGCAATTTAGCCAGGCCCTTAGCAACTCAGCAAAACCCTGTCTCTAAATAAAATATTAAAAGGGGGAATTGAGCACAGGCTCCAGCTCTCACTCTGCTTCAGGCTCCTGCTTTTTTCCTGTGTCTTATTATTGCCATGACACTGCTTTGTGAAGGGAAGCCTACTAAAGATTTGTGAACATATGCTTTCTTTTCAACTTATCAATATAAGGTAGCGCTTAAGGGCTGGGGATGTGGCTCAAGCGGTAGCACGCTCGCCTGGCATGCGTGTGGCCCGGGTTCGATCCTCAGCACCACATACCAACAAAGATGTTGGGTCCGCCGAGAACTAAAAAATATTAAAAATTCTCAAAAAAAAAAAATAATAAGGTAGCGCTTAAAATGTGAATTCTTAGAGGTGGGGGAGGGGTCTTTTACCATTAGACACTTCACTTGTTTGGCAGCAATGACTATAAAAGACATCCTGAAGGCTCAGCAGTGCAGTGTCCAGGTGATATAAATGCTGTTCTCTGTGGCCTGTCAGCCTAGCTCTGGGTCCTGCTACCAGTCCAGTAAGCTCTGGTGTCACATGGATGATGTGCCCTGGTAGCAAAATAGACGGCTCAGTCTGCAGCCTCCTGCTCTACCCCAGGTCCAAAGTTTGTGCTGATACTGATCACCGAAAGACCTCATCAGCTCACTGCTGACACGATGAAAAATTTCACTAGAGACCCTGACAGAGGAACTGTAAGGATGAGATCAGGAGGAAGATGACATTCATATTTTTATATAAATTATCATTTATTTCTGTAGCATACAAAAGGTATAAATATGATTTATGTAAAACCAATCACCTGCACACTCAAGACGAGAGTACATGAAACTGGGGTCTGTAGCTTTGAGTCAGAGAGAGTAGGAAGAAGCAGGATCAGATCCAGTCACCCCACCATAGGTCCTCCATTCCCAGACACTGTTATCCTAGGACAGGAAATCAGTGGACAGCTTTCTAACTTCAACAAGGGTCACTTGTTAGACGGTACATCAGCACGGTGGGGACAGAGGTATGACAGGCTTTCGGGCACTTTTATAAACGAGGCACTTTATGGGAAGCATGCCTGAGGTGTAAACCAATTATGTTGAAACAAGCAGGCCGCCTTGCCAGTAGGGGATGAGCACGAGATCTCCTCATCTCCCGGGTCTCCTGCCTTTATGTGGCTATTTGATTTGGAGAAAGGAGCAGCAACAGGAAGCAGGGATGAAAGGAGGGAAATATCACAGAGCCGCATCTGATTCCTGGCCTCATGCTGCCAAACAGCTCAGTGCCCAAAGGCTTGGGAGTTGAATGGTGCTCAATATAGAACTCACAGAGTTTTTGGATTCTCAAGTTCAGATACCACTGTGGTGTCCATGAATTTGTGTAAGAGTCATAATTTGCTAGGAGGAGCTCATATCTGAAAGACTCAGTAGAAATCTTAGGATCTGAGAGGAAAAGTGACAGGAGCAGCATCTGCACTGATGGACCAGCCTTAGGGGGCCAATAACATGGACATCAAGAAGGGCCCAAAGCTCTTCCCAGAAAGGTGTGCAGAGCTCAAGAGGCAACTAGCGGTATTCACCAAATCTCTTCTGCCACCTCTCTTGACAATGACACTGATATAGTTCCTGCACATGACGTTCCCTTATTTCTTGCAATGTGTGCAGGTGTGTGTGGCCTTCCACACTAGTGGCACCATGGTGTCATAGCTGTGGGAGGCACAGTGGGTTGAGAAGGAAGGCAACTATCAAAGGACTCTGGGTCTTCACTAGAGCTAAGTCCCCTCTGGAGTATGTACTTTCAGCCTAAACTGAAACGACGACAATTAAAGAAAATTTTCACATCGTTGATCACAAATCTTGTCACAGCCACTGAGATTGCTGCCTACCCACCTACCCTGAGGGAAGAAAACAAGGGGAACTGTGATGTTAGAATCTTCCCATTCCATGGAAAAAGAAGCTGGTCCCAAGAAACAAATACTACACTCCCTCTGATAAAGAAAACACACTTCTAAGCTGGTTTCCTGGGGCACAAAAGGTCTTCTTCCAGGGGAGTACAGTGCAGGCTCTACCTTCCCTTATGATGGGAGAGCAGAATTCAGTCACCTGTGTGGGCTCAAAATGATCACTAACTTTGGGTTTTCTTGGTCCCTATGGTAGATGACAATCTAGAACCATTGTCACAAAAACAAGGTAAAAGCTACCTAACAATGGCTGTAGCACGAGTACCCCTTAAGGTACAATCCGTAAAACTGTTGCTCCTGGGTGTCATTTTCTACTCACAATTCCATGATCACAGGCCCCTTCTGGAAGTTGTTCAAGCCCACAGAGCATATGGATATACCTGAAGCAGGAGTTGGCAAACTGGAGCCCACAGGCCAAATCTGGCCTGCTGCGTGTTTTTGTAAATAAAGTTTTATTGGAACACAGCCACATTTGTTTGTGCATGAAATATCTACAGCTACTTTTGCACTGCAAAGGCAGATTTGAGTAGCTGTGAGAGAGATTATTAGGCCATTTGAAGAAAGTTTGTAGGCTCTTGCCCTGGAAACTAAACGCAATTTAGGGAACCATCACTCTCTGAAAAGGCCTTCTAAAAAAGAGACCCAAGTATTTAATCGTTAGAATCTGATTCTGCTGCAAATCTCCAAGCATAAGAATCTCACTCTTGAGGCACAGAATCTGTTGGGTGATAACTTCAGGAGCCACTAATGAACTCCTGACAAGAACCTGTCTGTGCTTTAAACCCTCTCTCACCCAAGATAAGCTAAGCTGTGATCCCTGACCAAGTCTCTGGAGCTCAGAGAAGGGTGTGTGTGTGTGTGTGTGTGTGTGTGTGTGTGTGTGTGTGTGTATACACAGTCATGCATAAACACATGTATGTACTGTATGTACACACACACACACAGGAATCATTCCAAAAGAGTCATACTCTTGCTCTTCATGTTCTGCAAGGTCAAGGTGGCGATTTCCTGCTCCTGAAAGCTCTGTAGCAAGCGAGCTCAGCTCTGATTGCTTTTTTTACTCGCAAGCTAGTTTGCTGTCAAAGCTAGAAAGCCCAATAGCGAAGGCCTGAAGTGCACACAGCGGGTAGTTGTAGTCCAGCGTGAACACATCATCTGCCACACGTCCAAACTGCATGACTATGTAGTCAGCTAGAAAAAGAAAGAAATTTGGAGGTTAGACCACAATGTGATTATACTAGGGAAAAACTCAATATATTTTTAGATACAGGGGACAAAACAAAACTCAGGATCAGTTTATCACCAGTTCTCTTTAAATTAGGAAACTGAAACAAAGTGGGTGTGGGCTAGGGCGTAACTCAGTGATTTCCATGTGATTAACATGTACTGATGCCCTGAATTCAATCCCCAACATGAAAGAACCCAAAACAAAACAAAAACAAAGAAAAAGAAATGATACAATAGGAAATATATAGAGGATACAAAAGTTTTGTTTTCTTTTGTTTGGTACTAAGGATTGAACCCAGGGTTGCATTCCTAGCCCTTTTTGAGACAGGGTCTTGCCAAGTTCGCGAGTCTGGCCTCAAAACTTGCAATTCTCCTGCCTCAGCCTCCTGAGTCACTAAGATTAACAAGCATGGGCTGCCATGCCTGGCTTCAACAACAATTGGGAAGTTTTCTTCTAAAAGTCTAGTTTTGTCTTTCCAGACAAATCCTTTCTTTCCGAAGTAATTCTCTCCTGAATATAACTTCCTATCAGTTATAGGAAGCAATCATTTCTGTTTTGTCAGAACCTTGTCCCCATTCCAACACAGCCCTTCCTGTGGCTTACGGTCATTTTCATGAACTATCTGGAAGTTCTTCACAGATGCCTGAGTGACCCGGCCGTGAAAGTTCAGCACATAGGACTGAGTGTCGTCATTCCAGACTGGGGCCTTATTGTGCAGTTCAATCAAGTTCTCCATGGTTTTGTTTTGCCATTTTGAAAGCAAACTCTCATGATCCTGGTGGAAGATAAAATTGTTACTTTGTACTGAGAAGTATGATAACACATTTATTTTAAGGCAGAAGTAGGTAAATATTTTCTCCATTTCAGAAAGGGTAAATTAAAAGAAAAGAGTTAAATTCAACACTAACAGCCAGGTTGTTGTTGTTGTTATTTATTACATATGATCCAGCATTTCTCTTTGCAGAAGAAATGATTTCAAGTCAATGACGTCACTAGCATCTCTGGAACTGCAATTATCCTGAGAATTTGGGCGACAGCTCTCCTAAAGAAGAGTGTGAGCATATTCCAGTTCAGGATCTGAACGAATCAATACTTTCTCTGTGCTGATCTCTTCTGTGTTATGTCATTGTCTTTTTGAGCCCTTTGCCAATCAAGCCTGTCCTTACTTACATTTCGTGGCCGAAACGGGATTCGCTCATGATTCATATTCATCCCTGGAATAATCACAGACATTTTCCTAGGACCTTTAAATCCAAGCACATTTGTTTCCTGGAAGATGGGAAAATAAAGCACAATTTGAAAGCAGAAAAGAAAAAGAGACCATGTCTGTCCTAACATGAGGCTTCCTTAGGCACACACATGCTGCCAATGGGCCGGGCTGTGGCTCAGCAGAGGAGTGCTCGCCTGGTGTGCGTGAGGCAGTGGGTGCCTCAGCACCATATGGAAATGAACAAATAAAACAGAGGCCTGCTGTCCATACACAACTAAGAAAAATTAAAAAAAAAAAAAATACGGAGGATGGCTGGGTGCAGAGGTGCACTCCAATAACCCCAGACACATGGAAAACTGAGACAGATAGATCACAAGTCAAAGGCCAGACTTGGCAACTTAGTGAAACCCTGTCTCAAAATTTAAAAATGCAAAGGGCTGTGGATGGAGCTCAGTGGATAAGTGCCCCTGAGTTCAATCCCCAGTACCAACACACCGGCAAATGGTAACAATGTCAAGAACACCAAAAACAATTTTATTACTTTGTGTAATTAAAAAGAGAATGAAAATTAGGAAGCTTGGTCAGTAGCATGTGCCTATAATTAATCCCAGACACTTGGGAGGCTGAGTCAGTCCTTAAACCCAGGAGTTCAAGGATAGCTTGGGCAACTTGGTAAGTCTCTATCAAGAATAAAAGAGCCAGGCACGGTGGTGCATGTCTGTAATCCCAATGGCTCAGGAGGCTGAGGCAGGAGGCCAACTTCAGCAATTTTGAGGCACTGAGCAACTCAGTGAGACCCTGTCTCTCAATAAAATACAAAAAAAAAAAAAAAGGAAATCAACTTGAGAAATGGAAAGAGGGAAGGAAGAGAGGGAGGAAGAAGGGAAGAAAAGAAGGAAGGATTAAAAGCAAAGAGATGGTTTTACTGTATTCTAACTTCTGGTCAATGGAGAAAAGGTCAGGAAGGTCTGAATTAAGTGGCATTAGGAAAGGAGAAGAGTAGATGAGGCAAGAAACAGCACAAAAGTGAAAAATAATTCCTACATAAATAATTTCACAATTAAACAATCAAAACATGAGTATATGAGGAAAACGATACCAGCAGCAGAAAGAGGGATCAGAGAAGTGGAAACGAGCCTGGAGGGCGGCTGGCGGTGGCACCAGCAGGGTGTGCGGGGTGAAGGAGAAAGGGTATGCTGGGAGGGTCACGTACGTAGCAGATGGCGGCCAGCTCCTGCCGCGTGTGCGCCTTTTCAACCAGACCCTGGGCCCTGACTGGGCTAACTCCATGGTCATACACTGTGAACTTGGTCCCCATGAGGTTGGATCTAGTGTCAGGAGAAAAAGGCACAATGGGATCCGTGTATTTTCCTAACTAGGAGAGAAAAGGTTAAGCAGTAGAAGGGAGGCCTAGCTGCCTGCTCTCCAAATACTCAAAGGGTCATCATCACTTTTTCAAAGATCTTTCATTAGACAAGGAAGGGACTTAAGATTTTCTTTTAACATTGTTGTTTTCGTTTTTGATTCCACATCTATACATGCTGATTGTAAAAACTAAAAAGCGTATGGACGGGGTTGGGGATGTGGCTCAAGCGGTAGTGCGCTGGCCTGGCATGCGTGCGGCCCGGGTTCGATCCTCAGCACCACGTACAAAGATGTTGTGTCCGCCAAAAACTGAAAAATAAATATCAAAAATTCTCTCTCTCTCTCTCACCTCCTTTAAAAAAAAAAAAAAAAAACGTATGGACTGTTCTGAAACCATAGGAATGCAGGTATCAGAAATAATAGGATAGTGATATAAGGCTGCTGTCACCTGAGTTTGCCAATGTAACTTTCCCCTTCACGAGATAAATCTGTTGCATCAGTGGAAATCAGGTAGTTGGATGTTTTGCTCTTCTTCCGCTTTCTACCTGCAAGAAGAAATATCTGGGGAAAAAAAAACAAAAAAACGTGTCAATCAAAAAATGAAATCAAGTGAACCCCCAAGGTTCCGCCTATTACTTCAGCAAATGTTTTACAAGTGTCTACCATGTGCCAAGCACTCAATCTTTGGGTCATTTCCCTTTCCCTTTCCCCTTTTCCTTTCCTGCCTTTCTCCCTCCCTCCCTTCCTTTCTCCGTCCCTCTCTTTCCCTTTCTTTTTTTCTTAATGGGAAACTGCTTTCCCTTTATTTAGACTTTAAGGAGAAAAAAACAAACTTTGGTCATATGCTACCATTATTTTGCGGTGGGGAGGGGGGTACCAGGGATTGAACTCAGGAGCACTGGACCACTGAGCCATATCCCCAGCCCGTTTTGTAATTTTATTTTGAGACAGTGTCTCACTGAGTTGCTTAGCACCTTGCTTTTGCTGAGGCTGGCTTTGATCTTATGATCTTCGTACCTCAGTCTCCTGAGCTGCTGGGATTACAGGCATGTGCCACCATGCCTATCACAATTTCCTTCCTGTACATTTTTATTTACTCTTTATAGTTGTAGATGGACAGAATGCCTTTATATTATTGTTTATTTTTATGTGGTGCTGAGGATTGAACCTAGTGCCTCACACATGCTAGGCAAGCGCTCTGCTACTGAGCTATAGCCCCAGCCTGCCTCCTATACATTTTTAATGAACTCACTAACTTGACTCTCCATATAAGTCTTTATGCCTTTATTCTTAAAACTTCCAGTAACTTCTAAAAGAATCATCATCTAATGCCATGAAAAAGTCTTTTCATTTGTAGGAGAGACAGGATCCTGAACACCTTCCTGTAGCTGTTTTTGAAAACTTCTTTTTGTATTTTGTTGTTGTTTTAAGTCCCTGTGGCTTTAGTGATTGTAGGTGTTAACATGCTGGTATGTTGTTAACCCTCAATAAGTAGTGTTTATATGAATAATATCTACCATCATCATCTCATTTCTAAGCACTTAAAATCATCCACTTATATCTAGAATTAGTCCAAAATGCTCTGCTTATTAGCAAGTATTAAACTGCTTCAAACTTGCTGGGCAAGGTGCACATGCCCATAATCCTAGCAACTTGGAAGGCTGAGGCAGGAGGATTGTAATTCCCAGGCTAGCCTCAAAAAAAAAAAAAAAAAAAAAAAAGAAAAAAAGAAAAAAAAGAACTGGTGATGTAGCTTAGTGGTAACAGTGGTAAAGAGCCCCTAGGTTCCTCAGTATCTGCCACCCACACAATTTGCCTCAAACATAAATTAGAATGTCTAGGCTAAGAAACAAGATTCTTGCATCTCTTTTCATATTTCCAATTCCTCCTATTCCCTAAAACTTGTTCTCCTTTCCATGTCCTGTTCTACCAAGATAAAAAGAAAAACTAACCAAAAATAAATAATAGGAGAGGGGGGAAAAGAATTACATTAAAACTTTCTCTAGGGCCTGGGGGTGTGGCTCAAGTGGTAGCTTGCTTGCCTAGCATGCTTGAGGCACTGGATTCGATTCTCAGCAGCACTACATAAAAAATAAAATAAAGATATCGTGTCTACCTAAAACTAAAAAAAAAAAAAAAAAAAAAACACCTTTCTCTAGGGCTCCGTAGCTCTGTGGTAGAGTACTTGCTTGGCATGTGCAAAACCCTAGGTTCCATTCCCAGCATGAAAAAAAAAAAATCTCCTCTATTTATCCTACACACTGATAAGTCTTTTCCCTGGGGCCAGGCAGGGGTGGGGAAGGATAGATCCTGGCTTTTTGACTACAGTTCTTTGAAGACAATGAAAACACCTCTGGGGATTAACACACAATCCACTTCCAACCAACTAGATAACTATCAGCATTATCTCCCTGTCGTGAGGCTCACCAACAATCTATTCCTGCAAGTCTTCTCAAGAGTCTTCTCAGGGGCTCAGTGGTAGCGCTGGCCTAACAAACCCTGGGGTCCATCCCCAGCACCACAGAAAAAGAGGGGAAAAAGTTGTCTTAGAAATCAATCCTCATACCTTCCGATTCTCATCTTTTTCCAGGTGCATAAAGTAAGTGGGAAAGAGACCCCGATCCATTCCCTTTTTATCCCTGGTTATCCGACACTTCACTGTGACACCTCGAGGGGCGGGACTATAGGCAAAATCCTCCAAATTCTCCACTTCTCCCAGCTGGTTGTCAACCTGCTGGGACACAGCACTGGAAGCTCCTGGATCCTGAAAGGACGGCCACACGTGAGCAATAGGCTGGGTAAGAAAACCTCAGACTCTCTGCAAAAAGTACTGATTTCTCCCTTGTCTCTAGTCTTCCAACAAAACACAAGACACTGAATAACCAAACAAGGTGTGGATACTCAGAGTAATGAAGACACTTAATAAAAAACAGGACATGACCTTACAGTGGCTAACCTAAGACAGAACAATTGAAGTCATAATTTCTCAGTCTAAATTTGAGTTTACAACTTTTGAAGGAATCCTCAATCAGTAATCATATTTAATACATTTGATTATTTGGGAAATAGCCAAATTAGCTCCAAAGGAAGAAGTTTCAGAACTACATACTGTGGTTGATTTCTGGCTGGATGCAGAACTGGGTCTCTCTGTTTCTGAATATGGTGACTGTGAACTTAGTTTTTTTCCTCCTTCTTCCTCACCATCAGTATCCTCCTCATCAAAGTTCAAACTGCTTGAGATACCTGGCAGAAAAGTAAATATTGACAACAATGGCTTAAAAAAAGAATATCTTTTAAACAAAGATAAGTTTGAATTTTCTTGCTTAAAATATTCCTAACCCAGCTAGGGATTCAGCTCAGTGATGCTGCATGTAGGAGCACGCGCCTAGCCTGCGCAAGGCTTGGCTTCCATTCCTAGCACCATCAAAGACAAAAAGAAAAAAGGAAAGAAATCCTAACTATTCTGACCCAAAATATAAGATGTTTTACCCCAAATCTGACAATTCATATTCTCATACCCT